TTTTTTTTTTTGTTTTTCAAATAAAAATACAACGATTTCGATTAATAATGAAATACTTTTGAATCCTCTCTCCCAGCGTGGAAATTGATACATTTCCTCGTTTATGAGGCACGAATAAAACAACGTGCGCGCCAAGAGTTATAGCTGATATTCATGGGATTATGGGAGACAACGGTACGATTTAATAGGACGGCCATTTCCATTTTAGAGGAGTTGGCCAACAATAAACATATTAACGATCCCGTTACCACCATCGTTACAACGATCGATATTTCCATTCAATCCGTGTTTCCGCGGAATTTTGCTTATTTTTTTTCCTCGACAATGTTTCCACACGAATCTCGTGGCGATATAAATAATTCTTTCGTCGATTCGAAAATACATCTGTATCGATAATTTTCCTTTTCTTTCTATATAATCCTATATATATATATTTTTCGAAAAAGTTTGGCCAATAATCGACGAGGTTGCGTGAAAAACAAGTTTGCCAAACTCGTTCCGGGGTTTCGAAGAAAGATTAGCCTTTGCTTTGCGATATTGCCGGGTGAATATAAAATTAAGTTAGGCTATTAATTAACAAACAACACGCGGTCGATTCGACTGGAAGAGTAATCCGACAAAGCGACTGGTAGCATTGACGATCCCACGACACGCGAGCGTGCCGTCACCTTGTTTTAATCCTTGCCTCATCGTCGATAAACATTATTGTCGTTCACGGAATCTTCCTCGATATCTTAAGAATCGTGCACAACGTTCGAAAGGATATCGATAATTCCAATCATTCTCGCAAAATTTTTTCTACTCCAAGTTTAAAAATTTTAAACAACATTGAAAATTCTCGTTCATTAATTATCTTCGCGTTAATAAAAATGTTAAAGATGTATACGATATAATTAATTAATTGATAAAAATTTGTTACTCGTTTGACATCAAAGGTTGAAATTCCGTTATTAATCATTTCCACGCTGGAAAGGAAGAGAAAAGATAACATAAATTTTGGAACAATCTATAATCGAATATCTCTATCTCGTGTAATAATTTTTACTCGAATAATTTACACCGAAGTTCCTTGAACATCCATCATTGATCTCTACATGATTTTTTTTTAAATATTTTTCGATATCTTTTCCTTTCTTTTTTTCTTTTCTTTTTTTTCCGAGGACCATCGAATTAAACGTTTTTAAACGTCAACTCCTCTCGATCTCGGCTCTTCCCACGAAGATGCATACCGTTAATCCAGGCTGCTTCGTTATCGCGAGGAAACATTAATCAGAAAGTCCCATAGGAGTCGTGACACGTTCGATCGTCGTGTGGACGTCGCTTTAAACCGCGATGCATAAACATCGCGATGAAGAAGAGGGAACTCGACGGTGACTCGACACGTGCCACCCACGGTGAATTACAGTATTGGTGGATCCGTTCGCGGATCGAGGGACCCACCGGTAGTTCGATACACGAATAAAGATCGAGATCGGAATCTCCGACACCAGGAAACCGTTCGTTCCATTCGAATCGATGCCTTCCTTTGCCTATCTCCCACGAAATCTAACCGGCCAATCAACCCGAATCCTCGTAAATCGCCGAGGGACGCCTTCCATGGACGCACGAAATTGCGTTATTTTCGTTTTATAAATTGCTTAACCGCCCTTCGACCGATCGCATAATACGTCGTAAAACCGTCGACGAGTCGTCGCATGGGATCCTCTTGGAAAAGTGAAATTTCGTGAAAATGATTTAATAATGCAACAACCAGGATCCTCTTCTTCCTTTTATAAAATATGAAAATATAAAGCGTAAGATGAAAAATCGGACAGCAGACGGAATATTCGTGGATTATTCGTGGCGATCTTTTTTCATCTCAACTTCTTGGAAACAATGCTCGTTCGACGTTAATTGCGCGATTGAGTTAATTTGAGTTCGAGGATTAGAAAAAAAAAAAAATTTAAAATACACTTGATCGTTGATGATGAAGCGCACGAGTTAATATACTCCCTGCTTATGCTTCTCGCAGGCTCTGACCTCGCCTCTCCTTCGCAACGTCGAAAAGCGGAGCCTGCGGCGACAGCGCGGGAACCTCACGACCGTCTGATAAATTTACGTCCAATGAGTTTAAAGCGCATTAGCGCGCGATAAATTTCGTCCTTTGCCTTTGCAAGTCCCGCGGGCGATGAGCGGCAAGATCGTCTACCCAGCTATGCTCCATATTTTCCCCTGTCTCCCGATTATTCCGAGACGAAACCCCTCTTTCCTCTTCCTCTTCGAGCAATACGCTTAATTTTCTACGTGCCGTTCTAATTTTCTAATCTTTCCCCTTTCTATTCTTTTCAACAATATCCAGAAGAAGAAAAAAATGAAGAATTATCGAACGATCGGTTATCGATATTTTTCGAAGATAAGAGAGAGATTGAAAATCATCTGAAATTGACAGTATAATAAAATTTCAATCGCTTATAATTAAGATCTTAAAAATAACAAAACAATAGTGTAATCTCTTTATCAATATTCTTCTATTCGTTATCTCTATATTATCTGTCTTTCTCTTACATAATTTTCCATAATTTTTATGTATTTTTATTCTCCTCGTCCAAATGGAGCACGACAATAAATAACCATCTAAATATAATTTTGTAGAAGAATAAAAGTCGAATAAATAAAAAAAAAGTAAAAAATGAAAAATTTGATTTTCTCTGTCTCTGTCCGCCCTATGTGATATCATAAAGTCATTATA